TTATTTTGCACACGCTAGGTGCTTGTTCTTGCTATTTCGCGAACGCTAGACCTTTGTTCTTGATTTTTTGCACACACTAGGCCCTTGCTCTTGCTATTTTGCACTCGCTAGGCCCTTGTTCTTGCAATTTTGCACACGCTAGACCCTTGTTCTTGCAATTTTGCACACACTAGGCCCTTGTTCTTGCTATTTCGCGAATGCTAGGCCCTTGTTCTTGCTTTTTTGCACACTCTAGGCCCTTGCTCCTGCTATTTTGCACTAGCTAGGCTCTTGTTCTTGCAATTTTGCACAAGCTAGACCCTTGTTCTTGCAATTTTGCACACGCTAGGCCCTTGTTCTTGCAATTTTGTACACGCTTGGCCCTTGTTCTTTTTATTTTGCACACGTTTGGCCCTTGTTCTTTTTTTTTTGCACACGCTATGCCCTTGTTCTTGCAATTTTGCACACGCTGGACCCTTGTTCTTGCAATTTTGCACACGCTAGGCCCTTGTTCTTGCTATTTCGCGAACGCTAGGCCCTTGTTCTTGTTTTTTTGCACACGCTAGGCCCTTGCTCTTGCTATTTTGCACTCGCTAGGCCCTTATTCTTGCAATTTTGCACACGCTAGGCCCTTGTTCTTGCAATTTTGCACACGCTAGGCCCTTGTTCTTGCAATTTTGCACATGTTAGGCCCTTGTTCTTTTTATTTTGCACACGCTATGCCCTTGTTCTTTTTATTTTGCACACGCTAGGCCCTTGTTCTTGCTATTTTGCACATGCTAGACCCTTGTTCTTTTTATTTTGCACAGGCTAGGCCCTTGTTCTTGCAATTTCGCGAACACTAGTCCCTTGTTCTTGATTTTTTGCACACGCTAGGCCCTTGCTCTTGCTATTTTGCACTCGCTAGGCCCTTGTTCTTGCAATTTTGCACATGCTAGGCCCTTGTTCTTGCAATTTTGCACACGCTAGGCCTTTGTTTTTTTATTTTGCATTTGCTAGGACCTTTTTCTTTTTTTTTGCACATGCTATGCCCTTTTTCTTTTTATTTTGCACACGCTAGGCCCTTGTTCTTGCAATTTTGCTCATGCTAGACCCTTATTCTTTTTATTTTGCACACGCTAGGCCCTTGTTCTTGCAATTTCGCGAACACTAGTCCCTTGTTCTTGATTTTTTGCACACGCTAGGCCCTTGCTCTTGCTATTTTGCACTCGCTAGGCCCTTGTTCTTGCAATTTTGCACATGCTAGGCCCTTGTTCTTGCAATTTTGCACACGCTAGGCCTTTGTTTTTTTATTTTGCATATGCTAGGACCTTTTTCTTTTTTTTTGCACATGCTATGCCCTTTTTCTTTTTATTTTGCACACGCTAGGCCCTTGTTCTTGCTATTTCGCGAACGCTAGGCCCTTGTTCTTGATTTTTTGCACACGCTAGGTCCTTGCTCTTGCTATTTTACACTCGCTAGGCTCTTGTTCTTGCAATTTTGCACACGCTAGGCCCTTGTTCTTGTGATTTTGCACACACTAGGCCCTTGTTCTTTTTATTTTGCACACGCTAGGCCCTTATTCTTTTTATTTTGCATACGCTAGGCCCTTGTTCTTGCTATTATGCACACGCTATGCCCTTGTTATATTTATTTTGCACACGCTAGGCCTCTGTTCTTGCAATTTTGCACATGCTAGACCCTTGTTCTTTTTATTTTGCACATGTAGGCCCTTGCTCTTGCTATTTCGCGAACGCTAGGCCCTTGTTCTTGATTTTTTGCACACGCTAGGCCCTTGCTCTTGCTATTTTGCACTCGCTAGGCCCTTGTTCTTGCAATTTTGCACACGCTAGACCCTTGTTCTTTTTATTTTGCACACGCTAGGCCCTTATTCTTTTTATTTTGCACACGCTAGGCCCTTGTTCTTTTTATTTTGCACACGCTAGGCCCTTGTTCTTTTTATTTTGCACACGCTAGGCCCTTGTTCTTGCAATTTTGCACACGTTAGGCCCTTGTTCTTTTTTTTTTGCACACGCTAGGCCCTTGTTCTTTATATTTTGCACACGCTATGCCCTAGTTCTTTTTATTTTGCACACGCTAGGCCCATGTTCTTGCAATTTTGCACATGCTAGACCCTTGTTCTTTTTATTTTGCACACACTAGGCCCTTGTTCTTGCTATTTCGCCAACGCTAGGGCCTTGTTCATGCAATTTAGCACACGCTAGGCCCTTGCTCTTGCTATTTTGCACTCGCTAGGCCCTTGTTCTTGCAATTTTGCACACGCTAGGCCCTTGTTCTTGCAATTTTGCACACGCTAGGTCCTTGTTCTTTTTATTTTGCATACACTAGGACCTTGTTCTTTTTATTTTGCACACGCTATGCCCTTGTTCTTTTTATTTTGCACACGCTATGCCCTTGTTCTTGCTATTTCGCGAACGCTAGGCCCTTTTGCTTGATTTTTTGCACACGCTAGGCCCTTGCTCTTGCTATTTTGCACTCGCTAGGCCCTTGTTCTTGCAATTTTGCACACGCTAGGCCCTTGTTCTTGCAATTTTGCACACGCTAGGCCCTTGTTCTTTTTATTTTGCACACGCTAGGCCCTTGTTCTTGCTATTTTGCACACGCTATGCCCTTGTTCTTTTTATTTTGCACACGCTAGGCCCTTGCTCTTGCTATTTTGCACATGCTACACCCTTGTTCTTTTTATTTTGCACACACTAGGCCCTTGTTCTGTTTATTTTGCACACGCTAGGCCCTTGTTTTTGCTATTTTGCACACGCTATGCCCTTGTTCTTTTTTTTTTGCACACGCTAGGCCCTTGCTCTTGCTATTTTGCACATGCTATGCCCTTATTCTTTTTATTTTGCACACGCTAGGCCCTTGTTCTTTATATTTTGCACACGCTATGCCCTAGTTCTATTTATTTTGCACACGCTAGGCCCATGTTCTTGCAATTTTGCACATGCTAGACCCTTGTTCTTTTTATTTTGCACACACTAGGCCCTTGTTCTTGCTATTTCGCGAACGCTAGGGCCTTGTTCATGCAATTTAGCACACGTTAGGCCCTTGCTCTTGCTATTTTGCACTCGCTAGGCCCTTGTTCTTGCAAATTTGTACACGCTAGACCCTTGTTCTTGCAATTTTGCACACGCTAGGTCCTTGTTCTTTTTATTTTGCATACACTAGGACCTTGTTCTTTTTATTTTGCACACGCTATGCCCTTGTTCTTTTTATTTTGCACACGCTATGCCCTTGTTCTTGCTATTTCGCGAACGCTAGGCCGTTTTTCTTGATTTTTTGCACACGCTAGGCCCTTGCTCTTGCTATTTTGCACTCGCTAGGTCCTTGTTCTTGCAATTTTGCACACGCTAGGCCCTTGTTCTTGCAATTTTGCACACGCTAGGCCCTTGTTCTTTTTATTTTGCACACGCTAGGCCCTTGTTCTTGCTATTTTGCACACGCTATGCCCTTGTTCTTTTTATTTTGCACACGCTAGGCCCTTGCTCTTGCTATTTTGCACATGCTACACCCTTGTTCTTTTTATTTTGCACACGCTAGGTGCTTGTTCTTGCTATTTCGCGAACGCTAGACCTTTGTTCTTGATTTGTTGCACACACTAGGCCCTTGCTCTTGCTATTTTGCACTCGCTAGGCCCTTGTTCTTGCAATTTTGCACACGCTAGACCCTTGTTCTTGCAATTTTGCACACGGTAGGCCCTTGTTCTTGCTATTTCGCGAATGCTAGGCCCTTGTTCTTGCTTTTTTGCACACGCTAGGCCCTTGCTCTTTCTATTTTGCACTAGCTAGGCCCTTGTTCTTGCAATTTTGCACACGCTAGACCCTCGTTCTTGCAATTTTGCACACGCTAGGCCCTTGTTCTTGCTATTTCGCGAATGCTAGGTCTTTGTTCTTGCTTTTTTGCACACGCTAGGCCCTTGCTCTTGCTATTTTGCACTAGCTAGGCCCTTGTTCTTGCAATTTTGCACAGGCTAGACCCTTGTTCTTGCAATTTTGCACACGCTAGGCCCTTGTTCTTGCAATTTTGTACACGATAGGCCCTTGTTCTTTTTATTTTGCACACGCTTGGCCCTTGTTCTTTTTATTTTGCACACGCTATGCCCTTGTTCTTGCAATTTTGCACACGCTGGACCCTTGTTTTTGCAATTTTGCACACGCTAGGCCCTTGTTCTTGCTATTTCGCGAACTCTAGGCCCTTGTTCTTGTTTTTTTGCACACGCTAGGCCCTTGCTCTTGCTATTTTGCACTCGCTAGGCCCTTGTTCTTGCAATTTTGCACACGCTAGGCCCTTGTTCTTGCAATTTTGCACACGCTAGGTCCTTGTTCTTTTTATTCTGCACACGCTAGGCCCTTATTCTTTTTATTTTGCACACGCTATGCCCTTGTTCTTTTTATTTTGCACACGCTAGGCCCTTGTTCTTGCAATTTTGCACATGCTAGACCCTTGTTCTTTTTATTTTGCACACGCTAGGCCCTTATTCTTGCAATTTTGCACACGCTAGGCCCTTGTTCTTTTTATTTTGCACACGCTAGGCCCTTGTTCTTGCTATTTTGCACACGCTATGCCCTTGTTCTTTTTATTTTGCACACGCTAGGCCCTTATTCTTGCAATTTTGCACATGCTAGCTCCTTGTTCTATTTATTTTGCACACGTCAGGCCCTTGTTCTTGCTATTTCGCGAATGCTAGGCCGTTGTTCTTGATTTTTTGCACACGCTAGGCCCTTGCTCTTGCTATTTTGCACTCGCTAGGCCCTTGTTCTTGCAATTGTGCACACGCTAGGCCCTTGTTTTTGCAATTTTGCACACGCTAGGCCCTTGTTCTTTTTATTTTGCACACGCTAGGCCCTTGTTCTTATTATTTTGCATACGCTAGGCCCTTGTTCTTGCTATTTTGCACACGCTATGCCCTTGTTCTTTTTATTTTGCACACGCTAGGCCCTTGTTCTTGCAATTTTGCACATGCTAGACCCTTGTTCTTTTTATTTTGCACACGCTAGGCCCTTGTTCTTGCTATTTTGCGAACGTTAGGCCCTTGTTCTTGATTTTTTGCACACGTTAGGCCCTTGTTCTTGATTTTTTGCACACGTTAGGCCCAACTCCTCCACGTCCACGTCCACGTCCACGTCCACATCCACGTCCATGTCCACGTCCACCTCCACGTCCACGTCCACGTCCACGTCCACGTCCACGTCCATGTCCACGTCCACGTCCATGTCCACGTCCACGTCCACGTCCACGTCCACGTCCTCATCCACGTCCACGTCCACGTCAACGTCCACGTCCATGTCCACGTCCACGTCCACGTCCACGTCCATGTCCACGTCCACAACCATGTCCACGACCATGTCCACGTCCACGTCCACGTCCACGTCCATGTCCACGTCCACGACCACATCCACGACCACGTCCACGTCTACGTCCATGTCCACGTCCATGTCCACGTCCATGTCCACGTCCACGTCCACGTCCACGTCCATGTCCACGTCCAAGTCCACGTCCACGTACACGTCCACGTCCATGTCGACGTCCATGTCCACGTCCGCGTCCACGTCCTCCACGTCCAAGTCCTCCATGTCCACGTCTACGTCCACAACCACGTCCACGACCACGACAACGTCCATGTTCACGTCCACGTCCACGACCACGTCCACGTCCACGTCCACGTCCACGTCCATTTCCAAGTCCACATCGTGGACGACCACGTCCACGTCTACGACCACGTCCACGACCACGACCACATCCACGTCCACGACCACGTCCACGTCCATGTCCACGTCCAAGTCCTCCACGTCCACGACCACGTCCACGTCCACATCCACGTCCACGTCCACGTCCACGTCCATGTTCACGTCCACGTCCACGACCACGTCGACGTCGACGTCCACGTCCGCGTCCATGTCCAAGTCCATGTCGTGGACGACCACGTCCACGTCTACCACCACGTCCACGACCACGACAACGTCCACGTCCACGACCACATCCACGTCCATGTTTACGTCCAAGTCCTCCACGTCCACGACCACGTCCACATCCACGTCCACGTCCACGTCCACGTCAACGTCCACGACCACGTCCACGTCCACGTCCACATCCATGTCCACGTCCACGTCCAAGTCCACGTCCACGTCCCCGTCCATGTCCACGTCCACGTCCACGTCCATGTCCATGTCCACGTCCACGTCCACGTCCATGTCCACGTCCACGTCCACGTCCACGTCACCGTCCACGTCCACGATCACGTCCACGTCCACGTCCACGTCCATGTCCACGTCCACGTCCACGTCCACGTCCTCGTCCACGTCCACGTCCATGTCCACTTCCACGTCCACATCCACATCCACGTCCATGTCTACGTCCACGTCCACGTCCACGTCCACGTTCACGTCCACGTCCATGTCCACGTCCACGTCCACGTCCACGTCCACGTCCACGTCCACGTCCACGTCCACGTCCATGTCCACGTCTACGTCGATGTCCACGTCCATGTCCACGTCCACGTCCATGACGACGTCCACGTCCACGTCCACGTCCACGTCCACGTCCACGTCCACTTCCACGTCCACGTCCATGTCCACGTCGACGTCCACGTCCACGTCCACGTCCACGTCCATGTCCAAGTCCACGTCCACGTCCACGTCCACGTCCACGTCCACGACCATGTCCACGTCCACATCCACGTCCACGTCCATGTTCACGTCCACGTCCACGACCACATCAACGTCGACGTCCACGTCCGCGTCCATGTCCAAGTCCATGTCGTGGACGACCACGTCCACGTCTACGACCACGTCCACGACCACGACCACGTCCACGTCCACGACCACGTCCACGTCCATGTTTACATCCAAGTCCTCCACGTCCACGACCACGTCCACGACCATGTCCACGTCCACGTCCACGTCCACGTCCACGTCTAGGTCCACGTCCACGTCCACGTCCACGTCCACGTCCACGTCCACGTCCACATCCACGTCCACGTCCACGTCCACGTCCACGTCCACGTGCATGTCCACGTGCACGTCCACGGCCACGTCCCTGCCACGTCCATGTCCACGTCCACGTCCACGTCCACGTCCATGTCCACGTCCACGACCACGTCCACGTCCACGTCCACATCCACGACCACGTCCACGTCCACGTCAACGTCTACGTCAACGTCCACGTCCACGTCCACGTCCACGACCACGTCGACGTCGACGTCCACGTCCGCGTCCATGTCCAAGTCCACGTCGTGGACGACCACGTCCACGTCTACGACCACGTCCACGACCACGACCACGTCCACGTCCACGACCACGTCCACGTCCATGTTTACGTCCAAGTCCTCCACGTCCACGACCACGTCCACGACCATGTCCACGTCCACGTCCACGTCCACGTCCACGTCCAGATCCACGTCCACGTCCACGTCCACGTCAACGTCCATGACCACGTCCACGTCCACGTCCACGTCCATGTCCACGTCCACGTCCAAGTCCACGTCCACGTCCCCGTCCATGTCCACGTCCACGTCCACGTCCACGTCCATGTCCACGTCCACGTCCATGTCCACGTCCATGTTTACGTCCACGTCCACGTCCATGTCCACGTCCACGTCCACGTCCACGTCAACGTCCACGTCCACGACCACGCCCACGTCCACGTCCATGTCCACGTCCACGTCCATGTCCTCGTCCACGTCCATGTCCACGTCCACGTCCTCGTCCACGTCCATGTCCATGTCCACGTCCACGTCCACGTCCACGTTCACGTCCACGTCCACGTTCACGTCCACGTCCATGTCCACGTCCACGTCGACGTCCACGTCGACGTCTACGTCCACGTCCACGTGCACGTCCATGTCCACGTCCACGTCCACGTCCACGTCCACGTCCATGTCCACGTCCACGTCCACGTCCACGTCCACGTCCACGTCCATGTCCACGTCCATGTCCACGTCCATGTCCACGTCCACGTCGATGTCCACGTCCATGTCCACGTCCACGTCCATGACCATGTCCACCTCCACGTCCAAGTCCACGTCCACGTCCACGTTCACGTCCACTTCCACGTCCACGTCCATGTCCACGTCGACGTCCACGTCCACGTCCACGTCCACGTCCAAGTCCACGTCCACGTCCACGTCCACGTCCACGACCATGTCCACGTCCACGTCCATGTCCACGTCCACGTCCACATCCACGACCATGTCCACGTCCACGTCCACGTCCATGTCCACGTCCACGTCCACGTCCATGTCCACGTCCACTTCCACGTCCACGTCCACATCCACGTCCACGTCCATGTCCACGTCCACGTCCACGTCCACGTCCACGTCCACGTCCATGTCTACGTCCAAGTCCTTCACGTCCACGTCCACGTCCACGTCAACGTCCATGTCCACGTCCACATCCACGTCCACGTCCACGACCACGTCGATGTCTATGTCCACGTCCACGTCCATGTCCACGTCCAAGTCCACGTCCACGTCCACGTCCACGTCCACGTCCACGTCCACCTCCACGTCCACCTCTACGTCCACGTCCACGTCCACGTCCATGTCCACGTCCATGTCCACGTCCACGTCCACGTCCACGTCCATGTCCACGTCCATGTCCACGTCCACATCCACGTCCACGTCCATGTCCACGTCCACGTCCACGTCCACGTCCACGTCCACGTCCACGTCCATGTCCATGTCCACGTCCACGTCCACGTCCACGTCCATGTCCACGTCCACGTCCACGTCCATGTCCACGTCCAAGTCCTCCACGTCCACGTTCACGTCCACGTCCACATCCATGTCCACGTCCACGTCCATGTCCACGTCTACGTCCATGTCCACGTCCAAGTCCTCCACGTCCACGTCCACGTCCACGTCCACGTCCACATCCACGTGCATGTCCACGTCCACCTCCACGTCCACGTCCACGTCCACGTCCACGTCCACGTCCACCTCCACGTCCACGTCCACGTCCACGTCCACGTCCACGTCCATGTCCACGTCCACGTCCACGTCCACGTCCAGGTCCACGTCTACGTCCACGTCCACGTCCACGTCCATGTCCACGTCCACAACCATGTCCACGACCATGTCCACGTCCACGTCCACGTCCAGGTCCATGTCCACGTCCACGACCACATCCACGACCACGTCCACGTCCACGTCCATGTCCACGTCCATGTCGACGTCCATGTCCACGTCCACCTCCACGTCCACGTCCATGTCCACGTCCAAGTCCACGTCCACGTACACGTCCACGTCCATGTCGACGTCCATGTCCACGTCCACGTCCACATCCTCCACGTCCAAGTCCTCCATGTCCACGTCCACGTCCACGACCACGTCCACGACCACGACAACGTCCATGTTAACGTCCACGTCCACGACCACGTCCACGTCCACGTCCACGTCCACGTCCATGTCCAAGTCCACGTCGTGGACGACCACGTCCACGTCTACGACCACGTCCACGACCACGACCACGTCCACGTCCACGACCACTTTCACGTCCAGGTCCACGTCCAAGTCCTCCACGTCCACGAGCACGTCCACGTCCACGTCCACGTCCATGTTCACGTCCACGTCCACGACCACGTCGACGTCTACGTCCACGTCCGCGTCCATGTCCAAGTCCATGTCGTGGACGACCACGTCCACGTCTACGACCACGTCCACGACCACGACAACGTCCACGTCTACGATCACGTCCACGTCCATGTTTACGTCCAAGTCCTCCACGTCCACGACCACGTCCACGACCATGTCCACGTCCACGTCCACGTCCACGTCCACGTCCAGGTCCACGTCCACGTTCACGTCCACGTCAACGTCCACGTCCACGTCCACGTCCACGTCCACGACCATGTCCACGTCCAAGTCCACGTCCACGTCCCTGTCCATGTCCACGTCCACGTCCCCGTCCATGTCCACGTCCACGTCCTCGTCCATGTCCACGTCCACGTCCACGTCCATGTCCACGTCCACGTCCACGTCAACGTCCACGTCCACGTCAACGTCCACGTCCACGATCACGTCCACGTCCACGTCCACGTCCACGTCCACGTCCACGTCCACGTCCATGTCCACGTCCACGTCCATGTCCACGTCGACGTCCATGTCCACGTCCACGTCCATGTCCACATCCACGTCCACGTCCACGTCCACGTCCACGTCCACGTCCATGTCCACGTCCACGTCCACGTCCACGTCCACGTCCACGTCCACGTCCACGTCCACGTTCACGTCCACGTCCACGTCCACGTCCACGTCCACGTCCACGTCCACGTCTACGTCCACGTCCACGTCCATGTCCACGTCCATGTCCACGTCCACGTCGATGTCCACGTCCATGTCCACGTCCACGTCCACTTCCACGTCCACGTCCACGTCCACGTCCACGTCCACTTCCACGTCCACGTCCATGTCCACGTCGACGTCGACGTCCACGTCCACGTCCACGTCCATGTCCAAGTCCACGTCCACGTCCACGTACACGTCCACGACCACGTCCACGTCCACGTCCACGTATACGTCCACGTCCACGTCCATATTCACGTCCACGTCCACGACCACGTCGACGTCGACGTCCACGTCCGCGTCCATATCCAAGTCCATGTCGTGGACGACCACGTCCACGTCTACGACCACGTCCACGACCACGACCACGTCCACGTCCACGACCACGTCCACGTCCATGTTTACGTCCAAGTCCTCCACGTCCACGACCACGTCCACGACCATGTCCACGTCCACGTCCACGTCCACGTCCACGTCCAGGTCCATGTCAGAGGTCCACTGGTGATCCCCGATTGATCCTAGGGAAGGGTTACAGGCGCGTTTGCCTGGGGGGTTATGGGCGCACTGACCCGCTACTGAAACAAGCCCTTTTATCCCAATGGTCTAGTGGTTGGGATTCTGACATGGTATCAGAGCGAAGGTCTCGGGTTCGAATCCCGGTGTATACACTTCGGGCATCCCAGTGCGGGGGGGTGTCAGAGGTCCACTGGTGATCCCCGATTGATCCTAGGGAAGGGTTACAGGCGCGTTTGCCTGGGGGGTTATGGGCGCACTGACCCGCTACTGAAACAAGCCCTTTTATCCCAATGGTCTAGTGGTCGGGATTCTGACAGTCCACATCCACGTCCACGTCCACGTCAACGTCCACGACCACGTCCACGTCCACGTCCACGTCCATTTCCACGTCCACGTCCAAGTCCACGTCCATGTCCCCGTCCATGTCCACGTCCACGTCCACGTCTACGTCCATGTCCACGTCCACGTCCACGTCCACGTCCACGTCCACGTCCATGTCCACGTCCACGTCCACGTCCACGTCAACGTCCACGTCCACGATCACGTCCATGTCCACCTCCACGTCCATGTCCACGTCCACGTCCATGTCCACGTCCACGTCCATGTCCACGTCCACGTCCACATCCACGTCCATGTCCACATCCACGTCCACGTCCATGTCCACGTCCACGTCCACATCCACGTCCACGTCCATGTCCACGTCCACGTTCACGTCCACGTCCACGTTCACGTCCACGTCCATGTCCACGTCTACGTCCACGTCCACGTCCACGTCCACGTCCACGACCACGTCCACGTCCATGTTTACGTCCAAGTCCTCCACGTCCACGACCACGTCCACGACCATGTCCACGTCCACGTCCACGTCCACGTCCACGTCCAGGTCCACGTCCACGTCCACGTCCACGTCAACATCCACGACCACGTCCACGTCCACGTCCATGTCCACGTCCACGTCCAAGTCCACGTCCACGTCCCCGTCCATGTCCACGTCCACGTCCATGTCCATGTCCACGTCCTCGTCCATGTCCACGTCCACGTCCTCGTCCATGTCCACGTCCACGTCCACGTCCACGTCCACGTCCACGTCCACGATCACGTCCACGTCCATGTCCATGTCCACGTCCACGTCCACGTCCACGTCCATGTCCACGTCCATGTCCACGTCCACGTCCACGTCCACGTCCATGTCCACGTCCACGTCCACGACGTGGACACGTCCACGTCCACGTCCACGTCCATGTCCACGTCCACGTCCACGTCCACGTCCACGTCCACGTCCACGTCCACGTCCATGTCCACGTCCATGTCCACGTCCACGTCGATGTCCACGTCCACGTCCATGTCCACGTCTACATCCACGACCATGTCCACGTCCACGTCCACGTCCACGTCCACTTCCACGTCCACGTCAACGTCCACGTCCACGTCGACGTCCACGTCCACGTCCACGTCCAAGTCCACGTCCACGTCCACGTCCACGTCCACGTCCACGTCCACGTCCACGTCCACGTTGATGTCCACGTCCACGTCCACGTCCACGTCCACGACCACGTCCACGTCCACGTCCACGTCCACTTCCACGTCCACGTCCTCCACGTCCACGTCCACGTCCATGTCCACGTCGACGTCCACGTCCACGTCCACGTCCAAGTCCACGTCCACGTCCACGTCCACGTCCATGTCCACGTCGACGTCCACGTCCACGTCCATGTCCAAGTCCACGTCCACGTCCACGTCCACGTCCACGTCCACGTCCACGACCACGTCCACGTCCATGTCCACGTCCACTTTCACGTCCACGTCCTCCACGTCCACGTCCACGTCCATGTCCACGTCCACGTCCACGTCAACGTCCACGTCCATGTCTACGTCCAAGTCCTCCACGTCCACGTCCACGTCCACGTCCACGTCAACGTCCACGTCCACGTCCACGTCCACGTCCACGACCACGTCGATGTCCATGTCCACGTCCACCTCCATGTCCATGTCCATGTCCACGTCCACCTCCACGTCCACGTCCACCTCCACGTCCACCTCCACGTCCACCTCCACGTCCACGTCCACGTCCACCTCCACGTCCAAGTCCTCCACGTCCACGTCCACGTCCATGTCCACGTCCACGTCCACGTCCACGTCCATGTCCACGTCCATGTCCACGTCCACGTCCACGTCCACGTCCATGTCCACGTCCACGTCCACGTCCACGTCCACGTCCACGTCCACGTCCACGTCCACGTCCAGGTCCACGTCCACGTCCACGTCCACGTCCACGACCAGGTCCACGTCCACGTCCATCTCCACGTCCACGTCCACGTCCACGACCACGTCCACGACCACGTCCACGTCCACGTCCACGTCCACGTCCACGTCCACGTCCACGTCCACGTCCACGTCCACGTCCATGTCCAAGTCCACGTCCACGTCCACGTCCACGACCATGTCCACGTCCACGTCCATGTCCACGTCCACGTCCACATCCACGTCCACGACCATGTCCACGTCCACGTCCACGTCCACGTCCACGTCCACGACCATGACCACGTCCACGTCCACGTCCACTTCCACGTCCACGTCCACTTCCACGTCCACGTCCATGTCCACGTCCACGTCCACGTCCACGTCCACGTCCACGTCCATGTCTACGTCCAAGTCCTCCACGTCCACGTCCACGTCCACGTCCACGTCCACGTCCACGTCCACGTCCACGTCAACGTCCATGTCCACGTCCACGTCCATGTCCACGTCCACGTCCACGACCAAGTCGACGTCCACGTCCACGTCCACGACCACGTCCACGTCCACCTCCACGTCCACCTCCACGTCCACCTCCACGTCCACGTCCACGTCCACCTCCACGTCCAAGTCCTCCACGTCCACGTCCACGTCCATGTCCACGTCCACGTCCACATCCACGTCCACGTCCACGTCCACGTCCACGTCCACGTCCACGTCCACGACCATGTCCACGTCCACGTCCATGTCCACGTCCACGTCCACGTCCACGTCCACGATCATGTCCACGTCCACGTCCACGTCCACGTCCATGTCCACGTCCATGTCCACGTCCACGTCCACGTCCATGTCCACGTCCACGTCCACGTCCACGTCCACGTCCACGTCCATGTCCATGTCCACGTCCACGTCCACGTCCACGTCCACGTCCATGTCCACGTCCACGTCCACGTCCATGTCCACGTCCAAGTCCTCCACGTCCACGTCCACGTCCATGTCCACGTCCAAGTCCTCCACGTCCACGTCCACGTCCATGTACACATCCACGTCCACGACCACGTCCACGTCCATGTCCACGTCCACGACCATGTCCACGTCCACGTCCACGTCCACGTCCAGGTCCACGTCCACGTCCACGTCCACGTCAACATCCACGACCACGTCCACGTCCACGTCCATGTCCACGTCCACGTCCAAGTCCACGTCCACGTCCCCGTCCATGTCCACGTCCACGTCCATGTCCATGTCCACGTCCTCGTCCATGTCCACGTCCACGTCCTCGTCCATGTCCACGTCCACGTCCACGTCCACGTCCACGTCCACGTCCACGTCCACGATCACGTCCACGTCCATGTCCATGTCCACGTCCACGTCCACGTCCACGTCCATGTCCACGTCCATGTCCACGTCCACGTCCACGTCCACGTCCATGTCCACGTCCACGTCCACGACGTGGACACGTCCACGTCCACGTCCACGTCCATGTCCACGTCCACGTCCACGTCCACGTCCACGTCCACGTCCACGTCCATGTCCACGTCCATGTCCACGTCCACGTCGATGTCCACGTCCACGTCCATGTCCACGTCTACGTCCACGACCATGTCCACGTCCACGTCCACGTCCACGTCCACTTCCACGTCCACGTCAACGTCCACGTCCACGTCGACGTCCACGTCCACGTCCACGTCCAAGTCCACGTCCACGTCCACGTCCACGTCCACGTCCACGTCCACGTCCACGTCCACGTTGATGTCCACGTCCACGTCCACGTCCACGTCCACGACCACGTCCACGTCCACGTCCACGTCCACTTCCACGTCCACGTCCTCCACGTCCACGTCCACGTCCATGTCCACGTCGACGTCCACGTCCACGTCCACGTCCAAGTCCACGTCCACGTCCACGTCCACGTCCATGTCCACGTCGACGTCCACGTCCACGTCCATGTCCAAGTCCACGTCCACGTCCACGTCCACGTCCACGTCCACGTCCACGACCACGTCCACGTCCATGTCCACGTCCACTTTCACGTCCACGTCCTCCACGTCCACGTCCACGTCCATGTCCACGTCCACGTCCACGTCAACGTCCACGTCCATGTCTACGTCCAAGTCCTCCACGTCCACGTCCACGTCCACGTCCACGTCAACGTCCACGTCCACGTCCACGTCCACGTCCACGACCACGTCGATGTCCATGTCCACGTCCACCTCCATGTCCATGTCCATGTCCACGTCCACCTCCACGTCCACGTCCACCTCCACGTCCACCTCCACGTCCACCTCCACGTCCACGTCCACGTCCACCTCCACGTCCAAGTCCTCCACGTCCACGTCCACGTCCATGTCCACGTCCACGTCCACGTCCACGTCCATGTCCACGTCCATGTCCACGTCCACGTCCACGTCCACGTCCATGTCCACGTCCACGTCCACGTCCACGTCCACGTCCACGTCCACGTCCACGTCCACGTCCAGGTCCACGTCCACGTCCACGTCCACGTCCACGACCAGGTCCACGTCCACGTCCATCTCCACGTCCACGTCCACGTCCACGTCCACGACCACGTCCACGACCACGTCCACGTCCACGTCCACGTCCACGTCCACGTCCACGTCCACGTCCACGTCCACGTCCACGTCCATGTCCAAGTCCACGTCCACGTCCACGTCCACGACCATGTCCACGTCCACGTCCATGTCCACGTCCACGTCCACGTCCACGTCCACGACCATGTCCACGTCCACGTCCACGTCCACGTCCACGTCCACGACCATGACCACGTCCACGTCCACGTCCACTTCCACGTCCACGTCCACTTCCACGTCCACGTCCATGTCCACGTCCACGTCCACGTCCACGTCCATGTCCACGTCCACGTCCACGTCCACGTCAACGTCAACGTCCATGTTCACGTCCATGTCCACGTCCACGTCCATGTCCACGACCACATCCACGTCTACGTCCACGACCACGTCCACGTCCACGTCCACGACCACGTCCACATCCACGTCCATGTCTACGTCCAAGTCCCCCAGATCCACGACCACGTCCACGTCCACGTCCACGTCCACGTCCACGTCAACGTCCACGTCCACGACCACATCAACGTCCACGTCCACGTCCACGACCACGTCCATGTCCACGTCCACGTCCACGTTCACGTCCATGTCCACGTCCACGTCCATGTTAGCGTCCACGTCCACGTCCATGTCCACGTCCATGTCTACGTCCATGTCCACGTCCATGTCCACTTCCACGTCCACGTCCACGTCCACGTCCACGTCCACGTCCACGTCCACGTCCACGTCCACGACCAGGTCCACGTCCACGTCCATCTCCACGTCCACGTCCACGTCCACGTCCACGACCACGTCCACGACCACGTCCACGTCCACGTCCACGTCCACGTCCACGTCCACGTCCACGTCCACGTCCATGTCCAAGTCCACGTCCACGTCCACGTCCACGACCATGTCCACGTCCACGTCCATGTCCACGTCCACGTCCACGTCCACGACCATGTCCACGTCCACGTCCACGTCCACGTCCACGTCCACGTCCACGTCCACGTCCACGACCATGTCCACGTCCACGTCCATGTCCACGTCCACGTCCACGTCCACGTCCACGATCATGTCCACGTCCACGTCCACGTCCACGTCCATGTCCACGTCCATGTCCACGTCCACGTCCACGTCCATGTCCACGTCCACGTCTACGTCCACGTCCACGTCCATGTCCATGTCCACGTCCACGTCCACGTCCACGTCCACGTCCATGTCCACGTCCACGTCCACGTCCACGTCCACG